TCTCAGATACGTAAGATTACAGACACCAAACAACAAATTTATTATTTTACTTATCAGGATCGTGGGTTTACTATTGCCGTTTCTCGAATCGTTGCAACCCAGTCGAAATTCAACGTATTTTTCACGAATATTCAATAAATTTATCGATCAATTAAGAAAAGTGCACATCAGAACGATAGGCAAAAGAACTCCTCTCCCCTCATAACCTGATAACAACAATAAATATTTCAGCACTGAGTGATCAATGCATAAAAAAAATAACAACAAGTGCTAAAAATTCAGCATTAGAATGCTGATGATGAGAGCGGACGAATAATAACAATAAAATAGATACTTTTGTGAAGAAACGTTGATGAGATTTTGTTGTTGTGAGGCATTCAGATTCGCGTTATCGACGTGATTATGATGAAGATTGCTTGATGCATCAAAATGATAATGGTATATTGGTTGATAGTGATCAGTTGCAGTACGATAACATCCTCGTGCCGGTGATGAGCACGACGACGATGAGGATAAACATACTGGTGCTGAAGGCATTGTTGTTATTCCTACAAGTTTCATCGTCATTATTACTAGCACATAGTATCTTATTGTTGCAATAGTCAATTACCAGTGGTGATAGGAATGGTGCTTGCAGGAACGTGAGTCGTCGTTGTGGTTGCTGTAACAGCTGTCGCCGACGACAAACTGGTTCGACTATTGATGTGAGGTGTATTATTCGATAGAACATGCACATCAGATGGATGAAGTGCATCTGCAGCTGTTGGTGTGTTATTGCAATTGCTATTGACCGATGAATAATCAGTTTCACCAATCGACGGTAAACGTTCGATGCAACAAGAATCGAACATTGCCGTTGTGGATGAAATCTCTTCATCACCACTGATGACTGCTTCTTGGTCATCTATATACAACGCATTATCACAACTCTCCAAAAGGTATTTCTCGTACGATGGTCCTGGTAATAATGCCGAGAACACATTCTCATGATATACTATCAAATTCTTCACCAATTCATTCACAAAATTATGGTAGAATACCTGAAAGTGCAATCACGTTTACAAGGGCAATGATAGATACAACCAATTAATTAATGAAACTTAACATACCTGATCTTTACCTTCAGGAATAGGTAAAAGAGTTGGTCCAAAGCAAATGGCTAAATTATATGGATCCATCATATTTTCATCACTAAATTCACTCAGATGATTCAGAAAAGCGAATAAATAACGTAATACAAGTAGTGTTGGTTGCGATAATTTTTCGAGCAATGGTGAAACCTAAGAAATAATAAATAGATGATTAAAATTAGAAATAATCACTGCATTAGCAATAAAAATATAATCGAAAATTTCGCGAATAAATAATCACAACTGACTTGTTTGATGAATTCTTCAGGATTAATACATTTTGCACACTCAGTCAACTGATCGAACAAGAAAATCGGAAATAATGGTTCTCGAAGTTCACGCAAATAAAGCTTCAGCACACCAGCAACTGAATTCACATCGCTTGCATCAACAACGTTACTTAACGGGTCCTCACCTTAAATTCATTTACTTTTATTCAATGCTCTATGAAACACTGGCAAGCATCATACTAATTCTAGTAACAATAGCAATAGCAATAATAATAATAATAATGACAATAATAATACTAGTATTAATAATGACAATGATAATGACGATAACACCAAAAATAATAATGACAATAACAATTAGTGTTGTAACAAAGTTATCATCTTCGACGATACCTGCAGAAATTAACAGTAAGCTATGAAACACAAACAGACTCACCACGTTCGAATGCTTCTTTAAACGAATTGATCTCAATTTGTGATCCAGAAATGCGGAATATTCCTTGATGATGGAGTGCGAATTGAGATAATACGCTAAAAATTTGACGATTGAGTGGATAAATTGAGAATCGAATAATAATCGTATTAATAATAATAATAACAAGGATAATAATAATAGTAACAATAAGAATAATAATAATAACAATACTAATACAGCACCGTATGGTAGATGTGATGATAAGAGGTATACTTTCACCAGTAGCATCCACGTATTCATCAAGACTACCACCAAACAGTCTCGGTCTCTTTGTTTCATCATTTTTAACAATTCCACCACCGATCCTTTTCTTACGTTTCGTTGCATGTTGTGAATGCGCTGCCGTTGCTGTCACACTTGACGACGAGCATATTGTGGTATTGCAAGATGATAGCAACATCTTATTGTCATTCTCTTCAGTTACTCCTCCTTTAATATTCACCACTATTATCACTCATACAACGCTAATGATCATCGCGATAACGATAAAGCACCAACTATTTGGCGTGATTGTTGAATGGGTGAATGATTCATCAGCACCTTTCTGCAGAGTAGCTATTGCTGTGAAGTCACTTAACGCATTCCCAATGCCGTTTGAACGTGCTTCTAGTCGTTCTATCAGATTGCTGTTCAACAAATAATGACTGAATTTCTGGAAATTTTATTTGCATCGATTTGTAGCAATTCTATGAAACACAGTAACAATTTTCAGCTCTATGTACCGTTCTATACAACCGGATACAGTGACATATGACTTGCCACAACAGCGTCGAAGAGAATCCCAAATTTATACAGAACATCTGGAGAAGTTTCCAACACAAATTAACAAACTGTTATCTTGTTTCATATAAATCAGTTAACTAAATATTTTGAGCATAATAATAACAGCATCACAAAACTATAAATCAGAAAGAACAAACGGTGAATATAAAAACAAACATTTAAATAATAATCGTATAATTCGTTTAGATCATTTCTGTTCTTGAGATGATCGATGACTAGTTCAGTTTGAGCAGAGCTATCTTTGCGTTGTTCATTCACATCAGCTGATCGCATCAGTTCTGCATTCTTCTCTATCACCGCACGTTCCGTTGATTCCAAACTCTTCCATATCTCTTCCGATTCCAATCTGTTTTCGAATATTATTCTTAACATCAACTCTATTCTACACAACTGCTTGCGCTCATTTTATAATTCGATAATAGCGCTCTATTACATCATCTAAAACTTTTATATTCGCTACGATCAAAATACCATCGGCGACGAGCAACAGTGTACAGTGGTGAACGTTTGCTGTTACAACGCACCATGACACTAGTATTAGAACGTTGTGCAACAAAGGGTTGGTACTGAATGATGTGTGGTAATTGCGAGTCTTAAAGACGACTCTTGCCATATTGATCACAGTGTAACTAGTTGAGAAACAATTTAGAAAAGCTTTGATTTATAAGGCATTTGCTGCATGCAGAAAATGTTTTTTTTTGGAGATGACAGCTAGAGATTGGTCAGTAATTAATCAGTTAAACAACACTGTAATTGTTATTATTACGCGATGAACATTCGTTAACTTATGCCCTATTATTATATTTCTTGCGGTTATCAGCTTTCATGCTTACAACAGCAAAGAATAACTGCAGAACTGAAAGATAAGTACAGAGAATGCACACGTCTCTTATTGTTTTCAGACGGTGCTTATGATATTATTCATTTCTTTCGTTAACAAACTGTATGTGTGTAAGTAACCAATTATTGTTGTTTGTATGAGTTTTCTACACACTACCACCTCAAACTCCTACTCAACTAAATTTATGATAATGTTGATGTGACAGCTCGCAAATCGCCCTTTCTGCAGCCACTTCCCGTTTTGTGCTCTGTCCTTTTGCAAGCTTTCTTTCAGAACGTGCCAACACCATCGTCGTGCTCGCACGATGTTCATTATAGGCATTCAGATTCGAATCAAAAGCAGGTACAAAGGATGGAAAAATAAGCATCTTACACGAATACTAATACTAAGTGCAATCGCAATAAATTTCGATAGGCAAATATTGTTATAGTAAAAATATATTCAAAAAGAAATGACGCACCGAACATTCGTTAATCTACGTTCAATTTGCATTTGCCGCTGTTGCAACTCTTCAGCAACACCTTCGGCTGCACTAACGGTACTCATCGCATCTCCAATTTGCCCTCTGGAATGATTAATTATTGTTCATAACATGAGCAATAGTTACATACAACAAACCTGAATTCAAAACGTTTTGGTAACATGAAAGTGGCATGATTCGCCTCGAAGAATCGTTGTTTGTCGGCTTTTGCATCTAACGACTGCTTGAAAGAGTACAAATCTGCCAAATGGTCCATTTCCTTTTGACATATTGTCTTACGTGATGATACTGTACATGTTATTAGACTTCGTAGCCACTCTTCCATACCCAAATCCATGCACTTCAAAATCATCATTGGTTTTTGTGACAGCAATGATACTAATAAAAGCGATAATAATATTAATTACAACTAACATCAATGAGATCAGATAAATCATCAGCAAAATACTTGTGTAATGCTGCATTTGCTGCTTGAACACATAACAAATATTCATTACGAGCTTTCAAACATTTCACTCGTACTATATCATATTTTTCAAGTCTCTGTAATTATTTTAAACATATTATTCATTTGTATTTCAAGCAATTAATAATTATGATGCAGCTTCAATATACCGTATCAAAATGAGTCAGTGACAATTACAATAGATCAACTGATAACCTTATCAAAAAGTTTCGTTAGTGAACGATGCTTTCGAGTGGCACCCCGTTTTTTCGGATTTTCTTCTTCATATTTCAATTTGTTTTCTTCGACTTGACGATACTTCGATTCAACAGAAGAATATTCGGTGAAACACAACTGTAATGACGCATCAAATAACGAGGTGAATGAATTAATAACAAAACTTGCGCAAATGAAACTGTCAATTATACCAAAAACAATAAATAACTTACGAAATCGTATACAATTTTCAGATTTGATGCAAATAAACGAACAGTAAAAGAGCAAAAATGTTACTGAGAGTGACAGACAATACCTGATAAGTTTTCATAGCAGTGTGTAGTTCGTTGAGAACACGGCTTACCTCACCATGCGCAAGTGAGCCTATTTCACGGCACTAAATTCAGTTTAATTGATCGCTGTTATTAACTTGAAAATAATATAATGAAAATTCTTATAGTAACAAACCTTTCTAGAGATTTTATGCAAATCGTCACAACGTTGTGAGATTAATGTCGTCAGTTGTGTTATGTAAAGCTCTGCGATTTCATTTCGTTCCCGTGCTTCCTCCCTTGTGTTATCCACTAGTTGTTGCCATAATGCACATATCGAATGCATTGACCAGCATTCTCGTCTTCAAAAACACATTTTCATATCGAGAATATACTTCATTTGCATGACAACAAAACTAAGAAAGGATTGGAATGACAGCTGATCATCAAAACACGATCCACTCACTTATTTTTCTCATTTTTATGCCGTTGCATCGCGCTTCTAGCTAATTTCTCAAGTTGTTTCCCATATTCCATATCGATCTCGGCTTTACGTCGATAATAATCATTCAATTCTAACAGGATTGATGTCTGAATGCAACATAATTCATGATTTACATTCATTTATATAATCAGCAATTACAACTCGTAATGAATAACAATATTGAAAATAAACCTACCTGTGTCTCGGTTCGTGTCTCCAAGCATCGTAATTGCTCAGCCAATTGGCATCGTATCTCTGCAAAACGAACATAATGTACTATTATAACAGAACTCATTACCATAGCTCATCAGCAATAACATGAAATAACCCAACGATTGTCCTTATTTACTTACCATATATATCAGCAACATCTTCATCTTCACCCAAACTTAACGCACTACAAAATACTGCACGCACCATAGTTTATTTCTTAATCAGTGTTCTATATTCTATGCAGAATCAGCAACGTGTTATGAATGTTGTGGACGATTCAACAACAGTTACAGCAAATAACAAAAAACAACGAATAATATTAACTTTGACAGTAACAAACAGCAATCAAAGTGACTGTTCAACAAGAGACTTGGACAAGAAACAAATGTAACTTGTCAATTAATAATACGATTGAACAGATAATTACACATTTTTGAATATGATCAGATGAATAATTATCAATTAGTATTCACTCTTCTTCCAGTTTGAAAATACCTCCCATTAATATCATTTACCATGAATATTACCATGGACCT